CCTAGTCAGGCCATTCTGATTTTTCTTCCCACCGATTTTGGGAAGGTCCTAGAACCTTCGTTGAACCAGTTTTTCTTTCTTTGTTCAGTTATTCCTTTTCTTCTTCTTCTTCTTCCTTTTTCTTTTCTTTTGTTACAAATCTGCAAATTTCTTACCAAACTTGTAAAAAAATTGAAATTTATGTAGTTTTTTCAAATCAGGAAACACTTTTTCAAAGTCATGAACTTATTTGAAAATCAAGCACATTTTTTAAAAATTCACAAAAAATATATTCGTGATTGTGCTTATTAAATAGATGAACAATTTAAAATTTCATGAATATTGCTTTAGTCCGAGCATTTTTTTAAATTATTAAATATTTTCAAATATCAAAACTAAATTGGAAATTCCTGTTTTTTAAATTATGTAAATTTTTCTAATTGATGAGAATTTTAGAAATTTGACAACAAGTTTTGAAATTCCTAACATTTTTTAAATTCGTAAACAAATTATAGTCCACGGCTTTTTTGATATCCATGAACATTTTTATGAATTTGAATATCTTTTCAAAATTTTGTAAAATTCAATTCTGTGATTTTTAGAACAACGATAATGTTTTCAATTTGAACATATTTCTTATTATTTTTTGAGATTTTTTGGAAATTAGGAACGGTTGAAAATCAATTTTGTGAACAGTCTATGGAACCCCCAATTTTTTTAAGAAGCAAAAAGTAAAAAAACCAAAAAGAAAAAAGAAACGAAAGAAACTGAAAAGGAAAACTGGGGCTCCCATCCCGGCCATGGGCCCTTCCCAAAGTGCGTTTGGGGGTCCATCCCTCAACCTGACCTAATCCAGAATCATTTCTAGTTCCTCTCTCCGCTTACACGCGCGCTGTTCCTGCAAGCCTTCCAGGGTATCAATTAGTTGTTCCTAAAAAAAGGGTATCAATTAGTTATCTCAAAAAAGGTATCAATTAGTTACAGATTAATGTCATGTAAGGAAGGGCTCAGTCGAGAGTAGTCCTGGCCATGAGAAGCCCGGCCCGGCCCGAAAAAGCCCGACCCGACCCAGCCCGACGTTGCTCCTGGGCCGGGCTCATGCCTAGATTTTGAACCCGATGGCCGGGCCAGGCCAGGCCTGGGCCCGTCGTTTTTGTGATTTCCTAAAGGGGCCCGGCCCGAGGCCCGCCGGGCTTTTATGTGTCCGGGCTGGGCTCGGGCCTAAAAACCAGGCCCGATGGCCGGGCCGGGTTTGGGCTTGGTTTTTTTGCCTCGGGCTTGGCTAGGCCCGGCCTAAAGCCCGGCCCGGCCCGAGGTTTGGCCAGGTATAGTCGAGAGATCCTACACACACGGGCAGTTTACAGGGATGGTTAGGATTGACCGAGTTTTAATTAAGTGAGGTGGACCCATCAGTGAAATTCTGGGGAGCCAATTAGAGAAGGGCACGCACTCCTGTCCGTGAAAGTCAGTCGTTGTTTTTCCGTGTATCTGGTATTATCGGGCTCAGTCAGCCATAGGTAAGCACTGCCGCACAGGATTTTTAGCGATGTGATAGAAAGGCGGGAAATGAGAATATGAGAGGAAGAGGACTTCAACTATGCAAATCATTTCTACGCAAAGACTTAGGCTGATCGTAATGAGAGTATCATAAGTAGTATCATGCATGTCAACTAGACTTTTTGGATGATGTGGCACACAATTAAATGAAGAAAGAGAGGGTGTGGTATCATATCATGATACAGTATCATATTAAATGTTATACTACTTTGGTCATGCATGACAATTAGGCCCTGTTTGGTTCATAAGTTCTAGGACTTTTTTTAGTCCCAACTTATAAGTCTCAAGTCCCTAAAAAGTCCTTACCTGTTTGGTTCCTGAGACTTATAAGTCTCTATAAAACCATATTACAACTATAAGTCCGTATAAGCCCCTCCTTGAGAGTCTTATTTTATAAGTCCCAAATGCTCACTTTAAGTCCCTATAAGTCCCTTCTGTTTGGTTTAGATGGGACTTATAGAGACCTTTTTAAGTCCCTAAACCAATAAGTCCCTAAACCAATAAGTCCCTGGAAACAAACACCCTCTTAATAAGACAACCTAAATTACTAACTTATGATACTATGCATTACGGAGGTAGTATCATATACTAGTATCATGCATATGATATTAGTATATAATACTCCCCATTACAACCAGCCTTATGTGTATTCGCATAAAACGAAACAGTGTTGGTTATGACTCTGTGACAAGGACGGGTGAGAACGCACGTTCCACATGGGAAAGTAGAATCGTGAGCTATAGCCGAAATGTAAACGCCAAGGAAGATCACTGTCAGTCTGTCATTGCAAATATGATCATAACCACCTATCAACCGGCTTAGCTATCAGTGACCGGTAGTTCGACACCTGATGCGAAGTATATGTATTCCGTTGGTATTCCATTTCATTTTTGCAATCAAGGCACGTAAGGTACACCATTGTTCCGGTACGAGTGCTCTAATAATGCTGCGAGAGTAGACCAAGGATTCATGGATGGTATGATGGCTAGTCTGTAATTTTTTGTAAACTCTACTTATGTGGTGAGACCAGGCAGAGCATTTACATCCGTTTTTTAAAAGGCACAACATTAGATGAATCACTTGCATCTATGACGAAACCACGGACAATTACAAATTTGCAATTTGTTAACTACTAATATTCCCTTGCACCTTAGATCGACACCTGAGCACACCGCAGCTGGATGCATCCAAGCACCGACACCAATCGTTTGTATGTGACATTATGAGAGTAGATGCATGGAGTTAAATTTGAATAGTGATTAGACTATTTGCTTCTGGAGCTTAGTGTACCATTTTGTGGACCACGGAATAGAAGATCATTAGATATATAGACATGCAACTAAAGCTTGGGCTACGAGCTACTATAGCTCAACCAACCATATTGCGTACCTCGAATCTGGACGTGATATATGTTACAATCAGTATGGCATACTAAAAGTTGTGATCACTTTAGCCCAACATATCTCAAAGTTTACAGAATTGCATTATGTTGAACGATCATGCGGAAATAGATATGAAAACATCCTCGCCGACAAGGTGATATCGGTGCGAGACTTTGGGCCGATCTCCAACTGACTGAATAGACATCAAATTCCTTGTAACGGGAGTTCACCACAACAGTGATTGCGCTCGTAACTAAATACTCCCTCCATTTCAACTTTATACTAAATCTGTGCCACTTATTGTAGTAGGAAGGGAGTATAAAGCAGATAAGGTACTCCAAAATTAATGATGCACGTACGCTCGGACTACAACGCAGAACGCCCGCATGCATGTGGACGCAAAATCACACAAGACATAATTGAAGTGTGTGCTCTTCCAGCATAGTACACACGACCGACAGTACAACGCTTGAGCCATGTTGGTCTGCTTTGCGGGGCCGGTGCAATTAGCAGCGTTTGTACGCTCCTAAGCTAGCATGCAGCATCCGTGCTGTAAGCCCGTAACTGTACGCACCTTCGCCGCAGCCGAGCTTGGTGCCGGTGAATGGCGTCCGGGTGCGGATGAACTCGAGCAGCGTGGTACCGGGGTGCACGTCGGCGCCGGCCACCTCGTGCCGCCGCCCGTTCAGCGCGAACACCACCTTCTCCAGCTTCACCGGTCCCATCGCCACCGCTCGGTCGACTGGCTAGAACTGACTGATAGATGTATGGGAGTAGCTACTCTGCGGCGGTGCGTGTGTGTGATGGAGAAGGTGGTGGGCGAGCTGCTGCTGCGCTATAGCGAGGGAGTTGAATGCTGGCTGCCAACTTGCGTACGCCTCCGCGTGGCCTCCAGCGTCACCGACGGGGACAGCGCGGCATGCATGGCGGTGAGCCGGTGATCCGGTAGGTGCACGTCCAGTGCGAGCGGTGCTGTTTGGACAAGAAAACGTCCCCACATTTTTTCTGCTGCGTGGATAACGATCCTTGTTTTTTCGAGATAGGGAACCGCTCATGCCTCCTAGCTGTCCTTCCTCGGTTGTCAAAATGGAAGCGGCAGAGATACGATCTTCTTGACTCCCACTAGAAAACGTTATCTGTTTTCCTTAGAAAAGAAAGTTATCTGATATTTCACGGACTCGCGGTCGTCTCTTCCTCTGATCCTCTCTCCATTTAAAAAAGAGATTCCTCGTCGACGTGGAGCAAGCAAAGCTTGCGGCGTGGAGTCTGCGTAGTCTAGTCTCTTTGTATGTCTTCCCGGGAAAGAAAATCTTGTTGGGTCGTCTGTTTCGGATCTACACTTTGATACGCGTGGACACCATAGGAGGCCGTCAACTTTGGCTCTCAATCGGTGAAGTAATTCTCGGGACTGGAGTTATAACCTAGATGCAGGCTGGAATCGTCGAATTGTCACTAACAACCTCTTCCTCGCTGATGCGATCTTGTTGATGAGATTAGATCTATCCTACATCTTCATAGTGATAGACATGGTCGTATAGTGTAATTTTGTTGTTGCGTAGTATGTTTCCCTACAATCCCAAGTTGAGCTCCCACACACGCGTCACGTCCCTTGTTGCCCCTGCCCTCTACACGGGTCATGTTACAATCCCATGCGGAGCTCCCACACGGACACACCTGTCACATGCTTAGTAGCCCCTTGTCCTTTGTAACATGGCCATGTTGCAAATCCTAGATGAGCTCTAACACAAAGGAACGCATTCACGCGTGATGGCGAACGCAAAAATCAGTCGACTACCTTTTCGTTACTATAGTTTGGGGTACGAGCTGCTACAGCTCAACCAACCATATTTTGCCTACCTCGAACCGTGACGTGATATTGTAGATCAATACGACCAACTAAGTTAGGATCACTTTAGCCCGACATATTTCTAACTTCCAAGTGTGCAAAATTGAATTATGTTGCATGATCAGGACGAAATAGACATCTCTCGTAAAAACAAAGACATTAGACATCGTCGCCAACATAATGATCTCGGTGTCAGACCAGCTATCGGCCGATCTCCAACAGACTGAGCCACCAATTTCCTTGTACTACGTACTGGGAGTTCACGAAGACAGTGATCGTGCTAAACATAAAGCAGATCACGTACGTCTTTGGATCATCAAATTAATGATGTACGCTCGGACCACAACGCATGCATGTCATGTCGACGCAAAATCACACAAGACATAATTCAAGTGTGTACTCTTCCAGCACACACACGACCGACATCAGTACAAATATAAATCGGTTGACCGATGTCGATCTGCTTCGCGTGGTGCGATTATATAGCAGCGTTCGTATACGCTCCTAGCTAGAGCTAGCAAGAGAATGGTGGATCAAGAGCCAGCTACTAGTAGCTAGCATGCATGCAGTGCATGCAGCATGCGCGCTCTAAGTCTATAACTGTTAGACTGTACGTACCTTCGCCGCAGCCGAGCTTGGTGCCGGTGAAGGGCGTCCGGGTCCGGATGAACTCGAGCAGCGTGGTCCCGGGGTGCACGTCGGCGCCGGCCACCTCGTACCGCCGCCCGTTCAGCGCGAACACCACTTTCTCCAGCCTCGTCGACCCCATGGCCACTTGGCCGTCGCCGCCGCTCGGTCGACCTCGGTGAGCGAGCGAGCTAGCCAGAAATGGTGGATTGAGATGTCTACTATATGAGGAGGTACTCAGCCTGGCTGGCAAGGACGACGCGCCCTGCCTGCGATGTGAGCGACGGGGGGACGTGGTGGGCGAGCTAAGCTATGGGGAGTTGGACGAGTGCTGGTCAGCCTCTGTTGCCTCTTTACTTGCGTGACGGCGAGTGCTTAGCTGCCCCGGCGACTCGGCGCGCGGGGGAGGAGATCGGGACATCCACGATATGGGCGGCGATCCGGTAGGTCCGCGGACGTGCACGTGCAGTGCGATGTACTTTACTTGTAAGCTATGCCGTCTAGACACCAAAAAAGTCTCAGCATATTCTGTTGCCTTCATATACTCGTATTCGTATAATAAATTGAGGCGAAATAGATATGATCCAAACTCCCGTCCCGATCAATCTACTGTCTCGCCGTCTCTTCCTCTGTCAGTGACACACGGTGGTTCTTGTCACGAGGATGAAACAACCCATCACCTGTTTCTCTCGTGTCTAGTAGAATTTCGCCCGCTCTCTCAAAATAGACTTTCGTCAAGTTCAAAATAATAATAGACTTTCGTCATGCTTCATGAACATAGTCACACGGCCAAACGACACAGAGTGTTCAAGAAGTCCTGTTACAAAGATTGAAGAAAAGCCAGACGAACAGAAAAGACAACACAAAATACTGCACAAGGCATGCATTATCGGACGTTACCCTCTCACCGGCAAGCATGAACACAGAACGACACCTGCATGCATGCATGTTTAAGGGATAGGATGCCTCAAGATCACCACGTGTTAGTGCCAAAGATACTTCGAGCTACAACCCAATCCACCGGGAAAATGTTAATGCGGGACAAGAAGGTATTTCTATACCTGACACCCCAAGATCACACTAGTGCAGGTGTACTTATAGACAATCTACATTTATGGTGCGCCACCAAAGTGCCACACCAGTGGCGTGCCAAAGTTACAAAACACCACTTGTGAGGTATTATTAGTGGCACGGAGGCGATGGCGCACGCCACGAGTGTGTGCGACCCAGGAGGGAACAAGGGCAAAAGTTACTAGTGGCATGGTAATAAAACCGACATATCTCAGGTAGGGGGTCCCAAACTTGGTGATTTGAGCTAGATGGTAACAGAACAATAGGGACACTATGTTTTACCCAAATTTGAGCCCTCTCGATGAGGTAAAACCCTACGTCCTGCTTCTTATATATTGATTGTGATGGGGGTAAAAAGTACAGATTGATCTACCTCGAGATCATATGAATATGTTCTAAGCTGTCAAAACCTTGTCTTCTATGAACTAAACTCAACGGTTTTATATAAGCACCGGTGATATCTAGGGTTTACACATGGTAGGTTGTGATCTATGGATAAACATGCCAACTTATAAAAAATATGCTTAAAGTGTACACCAAGCCTTCAGGAGATCTTCATCTTGATTATGCCGTGAGTTGGGGTTGGTAAGGCCCCATCATTAGTCTTTAGTGGGTCTTTGGCCCGGCCCATAATTGGCGGACCGATGTGGCTAGCACCCCTAATCTAGGACAAACACAAAGCACTTCCACTGAAGATCTACTTATCAACTAGGCCAAAGAAAACTCATAGGTCAGAAAGAATTACATAGCTGTAGAAATCAGACATAATAGAATTCGGAAAAGACTCAATTACTTTATATGAATAACCCTGATCATAGACCCATAATTCATCACATCCCATCAAATTCACCGCAAAAGAATATTACATTGAATAGATCTCCAAAGATAACATTATATTGAAGATCAGAGAGAGAGAGAGAGAGAGAGAGAGAGAGAGAGAGAGGAGAGAGAGAGAGAGCCATCTAGCTACTGCTATGGACCCATAGGTCCTGTGGAGAACTAGTGATGCATCATTGGAGAGGCAACAAGATTGATGTACAGGCCCTCCGTAATCGATTCCCTCTCCGGCAGGGTACCAGAAGAAAAATCTCTAGATGAGATCACGGAAGAACAGAGACTTGTCATGGCGGAAAGATTGTTTCAGACCTTTCTAGGGGTTTTGGAATATTTGGCAATTTATAGCGCTGGAATTAGGTGATGTCTACTGCACAACCTTCTTCTTGTAGACGTTGTTGGGCCTCCAAGTGCAGAGGTTTGTAGGACAGTAGCAAATTTCCCTCAAGTGGATGACCTAAGGTTTATCAATCCGTAGGAGGCGTAGGATGAAGATGGTCTCTCTCAAACAACCTTACAACCAAATAACAAAGAGTCTCTTGTGTCCCCAACACACCCAATACAATGGTAAATTGTATAGGTGCACTAGTTCGGCGAAGAGATGATGAAACAAGTGGTATATGGATAGTAGATAAATGTATTTGTAATCTGAAATAATAAAAACAGCAAGGTAACGAATGATAAAAGTGAGCGTAACCGGTATTGCAATGCTAGGAAACAAGGCCTAGGGTTCATACTTTCACTAGTGTAAGTCCTCTCAACAATACTAACATAATTGGATCATAAAACTATCCCTCAACATGCAACAAAGAGTCACTCCAAAGTCACTAATAGTGGAGCATGAACGAAGAGATTATGGTAGGGTACGAAACCACCTCAAAGTTATTCTTTCCAATCAATCCGTTGGGCTATTCCTATAAGTGTCACAAACAGTCCTAGAGTTCGTACTAGAATAACACCTTAAGACACAAATCAACCAAAACCCTAACGTCACCTAGATACTCCAATGTCATCTCAAGTATCCGTGGGTATGATTATATGATATGCATCACACAATCTCAGATTCATCTATTCAACCAACACAAAGGACCTCAAAGAGTGCCCCAAAGTTTCTACCGGAGAATCACGACGAAAATGTGTGTCAACCCCTATGCATAGGTTCATGGGCGGAACCCGCAAGTTGATCACCAAAACATACATCAAGTGAATCACGTGATATCCCATTGTCAGCACAGATATCCACGACAAGACATACATCAAGTGTTCTCAAATCTTTAAAGACTCAATCCGAAAAGATTACTTCAAAGGGGAAACTCAATTCATTACAATAAAGAAGAGGGGGAGGAG